AAAAAAAAAAAAAAAAAGTAAACGCAATCAGGTGATTCAAAAAAATCAAACAATAGATGGTTTCTAATTCTCTCACTGATTATATAATGTATTACCCTAAAAAAGCCTATTTTTAAAAAATTGATGCTGAGGAATTTCTTGTGATTTTTCTTTATTATTACAATAATTTTAACATTTACTGAATACGCATGTGTCCTGAGCTAAAAGTTTTTACAGGATATATCATTTAACCCTTACAACAATGCTATTATCACCTGCATTTTACAGATAAGAAAATGTAAACAGTTCAGTAAATTACCCAAGACCACACAGTAAACAACCAAGCCGAGATCCAGAAGTTTGTCTTCAGAGCTTGCGCTTTTAATGTGCTAATTATTATCAAATTGATTATTTCTAAAATTAGAAAAAAATCAACTTTAATTAATTAAAACAATAATGCACTAAGCTTACTTCGCTAATGGCTGGCTGGGGACAGTATAACGGAGGAGCTGGAAGATACAAGCGGACGGGCACCAAGCCCCACAGTCTCTTACTGAAGTCCTTAGCAGAGTCCATCAGAAGCTGAAGTGTCTCCGAGACAATATTTGCATCAGCCATTGCTGATGCTTTCAGGACCTCCTGCACAGAACTAAACAGCAGATTTGCATCTTCTTCAAGAGGATCTGTCAAACATAAAATTTGGTATAACAGTTAAAATTTACATGAAACTTCTTATCCTATTTTGTAAATCTGAAAAATGTAAACTGTTAAGAATAAACAGGAAGGGCCTGGTGGCACATGCTTATAATTCCAATACTTAAAGAGATTGGGGCAAGAGGATCACCATGAGTTTGAGGCCAGCTACATAGTGGGCTACACAGTGAGTTCAAGGCCAGCTTGAACTACATAGCAAGACTACGTCTCAAAAAAAAAAAAAAAAAAAAAAAAAAAAAAAAAAAAAAAAAAAAAAAGAACACAGTGGTCAATATGCAAAATATCCAAGCTTATGAACAAAATTTTATGACTTATCCTGCTATTTTAAGATTAAAAATCAGAGCATGAAGCTTTTTCCAACACTATCAAGATATTATAGTAACAATTACACAATAAAAATATTCATGGAATATAGTCCTAAGTCAAAAAAGTAGTACAATAATTGAAAAAAAAATTAATGGGAAAAATAATGTCCAGAAAGACATCAGAAAGTCAGGCATGGTGGGTGCATGCCCATAATCCCAGCACTCAGGAGGCTGAGGCTGGGGGATCACTGTGAGTTCGAGACCAGCCTGGGTTACATAGTGAGTTCCAGATCAGTCTCAACTACATAGTGAGACCCTGTCTCAAAAAACCAAACCAAACCAAACAAAAACAACAACAAAAAGAAAGACATCAGAATAATATGTGATATTATGCAAAGGCAGTGAGAGTATATTTATTTCTTTTCTAAGTTTATGATAAAACTTAAAATTTAATAAAGATGACATGATATTAAGAAAACCAAAAAATACAAAATAGGCATATGTACAATTTGGCTTCAACTATGAAAATACCTGTATATAGGAGGGTTTATCTCAGAAGGAAAAATATAAGGAGATACAGTGAGTAAACTAAGCACTAGGGTTTTTTCCTACTATGAAATATTTTAAGCAAGTATACTATAGGACAAATATATTCAATATCAACATTGTTAATTTATTTTTACAATAAAATATTATATAAATAGCTGAACTTCCTTAAGTACCAATCATATTCTACTCTATATCATCCCCAGAGGTAGACTGGAATTCCTATTAGATATATACTGTGTCTTTCTGTTCTATATGCCACAAAGTGTAATTTCCACTTTCTATTTTTCATTATCTTGCTATTTCTATATATATTTTATATGTACTTATCTATGTTTATTTTGTGTCTCAGATTTGCCTTTCAGTTCACTAACTGAAATATCCATCATTATACTGGTGTAATAACTTATGCTATATAAGTGGATTCATACAATGTAGTCTGTTTCAGACTTCATTCATTTAGTACAAAGTTATAACAAGTTCTAAGTAGCTTGCTCCTTTTTTTAATTTACTATTTCATTTTACAGAAATACTGAAATTTGCTTTTTCATTCACCAACTGAAGGACATTTGGGATATTCCAAATTTTGGGCCATTATGAAAAGGCTGCTATAAACATTTATGTACAGACTTTTGGGTGGACTTGTTTTATTTCTATTGAGTAAATACCTCAAAGTGGAATCCTTTGACTTGTATTTGCTCTTTGTTTCAGACCTCTGGCAATTTCCCCTTGCTGAAAAATTGGCCTTTAAACAGTATTTTTTGTATTTTATCTAGAAGTGTATTTTATGTATGTTTTAACTATGTATTTACTGTGGGAGTTTTCAAATCACAAGTAGTACACAGAACCAGAACCAAAAGTTCCAATTAGGGTTTGTGTTTGTTTTGGGTTTTTTTTTGTTTCTTAGCTGGGATCTTGCTATCATGAACAGATTATATTCAGGCTGCTGGGTTTGAGTGATCCTCCCTCCGCCTCCCATGTAGCTGAGACTCCAGGACTGCACTAACACACACAGTTCCAGATTAGGGACTCTTTCAGTCCTTTTTGTCAAATTCTTCAGTTTTAAGTGTTCCCATATTTAATTATAAATATAATCCTTACAGTTTTGATAAGCTTTAAAAATATTCATACATTTCTAGATATTTATATGCTTTTTATAATAAAGGTTTATATTAACCCGATATGTATGTCAGAGCGTACATAGATAACACACCTGTAAACTGTTTATATTTTGAGCCCATTTTATTTTTTGCTTCCAACAAGGCTGGCTGACCTAAAAAACACTGCAGTTTTTCCTGGAAAATCTGTGCTGGACTCATATTTAATGGCAGATTCAGACCTCTTTTCTTGGACCTGCAATGACATCAAATTAAGGAAATGAATCTAAGTGTAAATAATGTAAAAGATTGAATTTTAACCTAAATGTAGTACAGGGGGTCAGTTTTATCCCTCATTAAGATGTGTTGAATTTTCAGGGTTTTTTTTTTATATATAACTAATAGCATTTTTGGGAGAATGCCACTCATAACCGGAAAAGAAAGAAAGGTCTCTCAGGATGATGAAAACTAGCACTTTACAGATTTCCAAGTAAACCAAAACTTCTAAACCAAAGTACTCAAGCCTCTCAAGAAAGCAGTTCTACAATTAACCACTAACTGACACCCTCCTACCACTAGTAGCACTGATGTCTAATTCCCGAAGATAAACTTAATAGTGCTTTAGTCATATAATTCAGTAAATGACAAACACAGGCCATTACTCATGTTTGTCTAGAGACAGGGCCTTCATGCTAGTCACTGTTCTGCTCTTGTACACTTGAGGTCCTCAAAGCAAGTTTTAGATTAGACTTAGTGGTCAGCATTCCTATTACTTGGGAAGTTGGTATCTTTATAATAATATTTACAGATATAACATGAATGGAAAGTGATGACTAAATGTTCTCATGGAAATGAGTCTAAATTTTTTAAAAAAGAAAATTTTACATGTGAAGAACAAAACATGAAAATTTCACAAACATTAGAATTCATTTGCCTTTATTCATTCTACATTTAAAACACAGTATCAAGGCCCTTGAAGTAGGAGACTGCAATATTGATTATGCCGAAAGCAGGTTGTGTAAGAAGTACAGGCTGTAAAAAGTTAATCCCACAATTGGCTTGTTTATAGAAGTGAGTTTAGCAGAAGCCTGCATGCAGAGGTCAGAGTAACATTCACCCAAATTTTATTCCCACAACTAAAATCTTCTCTTTTTTTGGTTTTTTTTGAGACAGGTTCTCACTACGTAGTTGAGATTGACCTGGAACTCACTATGTAGCCCAGGCTGGTCTCAAACTCACAGAGATCCTCCTGCCCCAGCCTCCCAAGTGCTGGGATTACAGGCATGTGACACCAAGCCCAGCTAACCTTCTTAACTAGAAGAACAATTACAACCATGTATTTTGTCTATTATGTCCCTAATTTGAGAATGCTTTGTCTTGTCTTTTGTAAGCCCTGCTTACATTAATTCCCACAGAAACCACATGATTGTGCATCCTCGCATGTAGTACTGCTCGTGCATGTAGCCTGGCTTTATCCTAACTGATTACTAATAAAAATCATTGGCTGGGACTGGCCAGTGCCTTTGTTGGTTGCACTGGCACTGGTGATCCTGACACCTCACTTTTTGTCTCTCTTAGTTCTTTTAGTCTTTTTTTCTTAGGCCTGAATCATACACTGGACAGGAAACTGGAGCCTACTGCAGAGGTTTCTGTTAACGTTTCAGGCATCCCCAGTACCTCCCTAATTATGCCACCCTAATATCTGCCACCCTTTTCACAGTAATGGGGATTGAACCTAGTGCTTTTCCACTGAGCTATATCTGTCGCCCTTTTTAAAATCTTGAGACAAGTTCTCACTAAGTTGCTGAGGCTGAGATTGTATTTGCAATCCTTCTGCCTCAGCCTCCTAGAGTGCTAGAATTTCAGGCGTACACCAGGCATATTTTCCCATTTTTATTTCCTACTGCTGCCCTACATATACACTGTTTAAACTGAACCAAAATTGTTTTTGCCAAATATATCTGAAGATGCTTAGAATGTACTCTTTCTCTCAACTGATACTCAATTTGTCAAGATCCTGTCTACCCTTCAATGACCATCTCAAATGACATCTCCTACATAATGCACTTATTTCTTGTCTTTCCTTCACTTGATGTTATCATACTCCCCATTATACAACTACCACTTTTCTTACTATACTATATAAATTATAATGTTTTGTCCTATTTTGTCTATTAAAATATAAATGCTTTAAGCATAGAAACTATGCCATTTAAGTGTTATACACTAAAATACCTTAAATATAGAGCTTTGCAAAGAGCAGTTGTTTAATAAATAAATATACATTGAATTACTGGAATTTAAAAACATATAAAAGACAATAATGTTATGAAATGTACAAAAATATTAGAGATAAGTTGAATTAGCTTAAAGCTCAAATCTTATTTGGGACAAATTCTCTCACTGACCACATGGCCATGACAGCATTACTAAGTAAATGCTTCAACACAAGTAAGACACTAACCATTCAGCATAGTAATTACTGTTTTAATAGCATGTGATTATTTAAATTTAGTTAAAATTAAGTTAAAAATTTGACTTGTTGGTCTCATCAATCGCATTGCAAATGCAGGATAGTTGCTTGTGGTGAGGCTGCCACAGTGGACACAGGCTCACACAGAACATCACTGTCACTGAAGAAAATCCTATGGACAATGCTGAACTAAGAACTGCACATATGTAAATACCATTAATAACAATAAAAGGAATATAAAATAGTTCAGATGACACTGTTATGCTATGTTTGAAACACTTACCTCACGGAATTGCAATCATGTTTATGGAACAGTTGGAAGGCCACACCAATTGAAACAGATGTCTTCCAGTCTCCAAGTCTATGGGCGAACCACACAGCCTCTGGAACTAGGCCACCAATAAATAATAATTCAAGGGCATATTCAACTGTCCACACATCAGAAAGATTCTGATCTCTAACAACACTCGCCACCTTAGAGTGTTGCAGAGGAATAAATCGAAGGGACTGCTCTGTGAGTAAATTAAAGAAAAGGAGTATTACAATTACCTACATATATCCAAACTCATGCCTCCTCACATCATACATCTCTTCAATTTGTATTTTATACAGAAAAACCACACAAGGAAGATATGTGCAAAATGGGCTGAAATAATAAAACATATTCTAGAGCTGTTTAACACTGAAGAATATACCTCAGTGGGTCATGAAACAATGCCCTAACTTTAAAAATGAAGCAGAACAGAAAAACAAGCAGAATAACTATTACATAAAGTAAGGTATTATTAAACAAGACATCTGTGACAAATAACATTTACACATACTTTTTTTCTTTCTTTTTTTGATACTAGGGATTCAACTCAGGACCTTGTAGAGTGAGGCAGGTGTGGCACCACTTAGTAAAATCTCTGGCCCTACACACACATATTAATGTGTACTGAGTCACAATGTACAATTTATTACTGTGGGCTTCTCAGAAATACATGCCTATTTTTCATACTAGATTATGAAACTTGGAAGGCAAAGACTTCATTTTATATTACTTTGCATACCTCACAGTGTCATGCAACAAAAAGCTAATATCAGGTAATACTCAAATAGATGAGGTATTCAATACATTAGTGTTAATTAGAAGTAGAGGGCTGGGGATGTAGCTCAGTGATATGTGTGATGTGGGTTCAATTCCTAGCAATGGAAGGAAGAGAGGGAGCGAGGGAGAGAGAGAGAGGGAAGAAAGATGGGAGGGAAAAAGAGTTTAAGTTGGGCTTGGGAGCACTCGCCTATAGTCCCAGCTACTCAGGAATCTAAGGAAGGAGGATCATTTGGTCCTAGGAAGTTTGAGATCAATCTGGGGTTACAGAGTGAGATCCTGGCTCAAAAAAAAAAAAAAAAAGATTTTCATTAATCCTGACTAAATTACAAGATTTTAGTCTGGCCCAGGATTTAATACAAAGGGGTAATATCCTTCCCCCTAGCCCTATGTATCTTTCCCTAATTATAGTAACTTAGGGGCAGGGATTTAGCTCAGCGGTGCTACTGCCTTCCTCCCAAGCACAAAAACCCGAGTTTGATTCCTGGTACTGGAAAAAAAAAAAGTAACTTAATAAAGCAACTTGAACTATGTTGACAGAAATGTATTTTTGTTGTTTTTTTTTTTTTGGTACCAGAGATCGAACTCAGGTCCTTGTGCTTGCAAGGCAGGCACCAGAACCACTGAGCTAAATCCCTGGCCCCAGAAATGTTTAACCACTAAATTGTTTTTTGTTCACCTTTTATTCTTGAATATGTATTATTTGAATGGCATTTGTTTGTGTAAGATTATTACAGAAATAAGAAGCATCCATTTCTGCACATGGGCAGATATATCAGTTAAGGTCCTCTGAGTTCAGGGCTCTTGTTTTATTCTATGTGTGACTATATCTTTGCA